TACAGTGTTCAGGATTGACATATCTCAGTCTACAGACATAGGCATTATATGGCATAGGTGTACAATATATAGAAACCAGAAAAAATAGAAATATTTTTAAAAATATTATGTTATATATCATAACAGTTTCATGTATTAATCATATATAATTAACTACTAGCAACATAATCAAATAGCATGGTCTATCCATGTGATAATTGTCTACTTTTCCATACTGTCTAATAAAAACCCCTGTAATTTTATTGGTCAATACAAGAAGATGGAGCTTTAGACATCAAGGCTGTAATCTCAAAATACTTCAACATGGCATTATGATAGTGGTTTCTCAAACAAATTAGAATATTTTGGAACTATATAATAATTTCTCATGTACCAATGTTACCCAGCTTGTTTTCGTATGATTACTTTTCAGTCTGACAATAACAAATACAAAGTCATCAGGCAAAACTTAGCAAGTTTGCGTTACTAGAAATACTGTTTTTTATTTGGCCTGGTCATTTGTATCTAAAAATATCATGCAATTGTATATAATTATCACTTGACCATTATGCATGGTACATGTATGTTAAATATAACGATATTCATGTTACACATCAATGTTACATGTTCTGAGAACACCTTATAAAAGTTTTACAAGAACCACATTAGAATGCAATTTCATAAGTTGTTCATTTCCTCCACACTTTAGGTTGTTGCAGTCTGCCATGAAGCTGCACTTGCAGCAATGCAAGAAGATATACATGCAGAGTTTATAATGGAAAGACATTTTAAACAAGCTTTGTTGGCTGTCACACCGCGAATCACAGAGGACCTTATAGAGTTCTATGAACAATATAAAGACATCAGTGGTCTACATACTGTGTGATGTCATCTGGCTTTGCTGGTTGTCATACCGCGAATCACAGAGGACCTGATAGAGTTCTATGAACAATATAAAGACATCAGTGGTCTACATACTGTGTGATGTCATCTGGCTTTGTTAAAAGCTGTATATAAATTATTATGCAAACTACATTTATTAAACAATATGATAGTAGCTGTACTGTAAGGGACAGGAATACTTAAAAATATGCATGAAAAATGGAATCGTTTTTAATATTCAACACCATCTCCCTAAATAATTTGAAAACTTTCAAAATCATTTAATAGGGATGTTTTAAAAACAAACAAAACAACAACAACTGAACATAGTGAATGTAACAATTATTACTTGAAATATTGGCAGTAAAGCCAAAAATTTACTAATTATGCAACTTGGTTAATTAATTGTGCTGTTTTGCAGTAAAATCTGGAATGGAAGGCCCAAATATGCAAATGTAGGTAGTGTGCACCTTCCCTATATTACACTGAACTCAAATCAATCAACACTAATCATTATTGCCATGTGTGTGATATGGAAACATTACCCACCATAGACTCCGGTCAGTAAAAATGACAGGGGAAGCCCTGTGACCTCAAATTTTCCTTCACATCACAAACCACGTGACCGAGGTAATGAGGCAACGCCATATTGCCTCCCTCATTACTCTAATTTTTCTCTGCACAGTGTGGGTGGCTCGATGAAAACAGTGCGTTTCAGTCATCCAGACATTTTCTGTCCAGTTTTTTGGTCTAGCTCGCTGTCACCTGCGTGGCAGTCGACACTGTGGCTGGTAGGATAAGTCTTTCCTATTTTTTTACCCATGTCATCTTTTTGTGTGCATTGTTTACAAGAAAGAAAAAACTTGGTGACGCAAATTTGACCATGTCATTGGATCTCTTGGTGTCAGCTTTTAACTGTAATTTGTTCCTCTCAATCCTCAGGATTCCTGTCTTGTTCATGTTTACCAATGTGTTTTTAGAAAAGGATAGGAAGAAAGGGTAACACGCCAGAGGCTTCTCACCTCTTTTTTTTTGTCGCCCCAAAGATTGGGGCGGTCTTACTGTAGTTGCCACCAGGAGATACCAGCTTGGAACCCACATAGCAAATGCTATTTGTGTTTGAACAAATTTGTGGGCAGGGCTCGGGTTTTGCCTAGAGAATATTTGTATCAACTTGGGTTCCGAGGCCTGGGATGCGTTCCAAGTCCGTGTGCAAATTACTGAGACTGACGTGTCGCTTGTGTTCGCAGCAGTCACGCGTGCAGTAATGTGAGTGTGAGTGAGAGGAGAGTAGCATGAGCAGAAAGTCCTCCCACTTGTCTACCGATGTCAAGCCTCCGATTTCGGAGGGGACCAAGCAGGGCAGGACATGGGGTTTGTATCCCCCTGGACTCTGCCAGCCAGGGATTGTCTGTCGGATCCAGTGACAAGGAATTAATTTTTTCCAGAGTCCTGCCTCCACTATGGGTCACTCCTCCTTCCGAGAACCTGTATAAGCTTCCAGAGGCGACCTGCCCGGCCATTGAAGGGATATCTGATTCGGCGGGTGCAACCTCAGGTGGCCCCTCGAAGTCTGTTTTTTGTAATGACCCTGTGAACCAAGGTGTGGGGTGATGTGGGGAACATCAATCCTAGTGACCTGATGTTCGACCACCACTCAAGATCCTGAAGCAGTCACTCCCAGTACTGCTGTCGCTTCCAGGATGCAGATGGCGCGATCCAAAGCAACACCAACTGCATAACTCTCCTAGTCTGGCAGAGTGCTGGACACAGTGGGAACGCTCAGACGATGTTGATGGGCGGACATAGGTCCCATGCGGAATAGAGGCCTAAGTCCCTAGGGTGGGGCAATTTCATGCTTAATTCTTTCCGCTGGAACAAGCGCTACTCGATTGAGTGGTGTTTGAGACCAGAGCCAGCAGAGTCTGGAGCCAAATCTCACACCCTGACCGGATCCCTCGGTTCCTCCCCGACCCCGGTACCACACATTTTTGGTTCGGTGGAACGGGCAAAGGGGATGGCAGCATTAATGCAATATTCGGCAGTTCAGTCGAAACGATCCACACCCTGAGAGCAGAGTGGCAACACTCAACTTTTGAGTTGTGGCCAGCCCACTGCAACGCATTATTTTGCACCTCCATCATTCTGAAGTCTCAAGGTGGAACGCACCAGCCTGGACCAGCATACACAGCCATTGATGGGACACCATACAGCTCGGTGGGATATCTTACAGTGTCATCTGGCTCTTATGGCATGGGCTGCCTTTGTACAGTGGGATGTGGTTTTGGTGGTTTTTACTGGGCGCTCCACCGTCTCAGTTTCACAAACTGGACCTCCCAACCCCCTTTCTTTTGGATGGAGGGAGCAGTCTCAGTGCTTCAGGGTCCCATTGACCAGTTGGTACAGGCAAGACCCACCAGCCAGTTTGGCTTCTGCCAAAGGCAAGCAGAAAGGACCCCAAGCTGAGAAAACGTAACAACCAAAGTCGGCACCCACTGGCCAGAATTAGCCAGGAGGCAAGTGTCCCGGCTCTTCCCTGGGTGGTCGCCCACCCAGCTCACAGCAAGTTTGACGCTTCCTCTTGTGACGAGGGGGATGAGCATATGTTTGGCGGGAGGAAGCAATCCGACAGGAGGTTGACAGTTTGCTTACAAAGTCCAGGCTTCTACTTGCTAGTGTTGGTGGTTCCAAAGATTACAGGTGGCTGCGCCCAGTTCTGGACTTAAGCAGACTAAATCAGTATGTGCTTCCTGGAAACACTGAGCACCATTTTACTTTCTGTGCTTTGCTTCTACTGGTTAGCCTCGCTAGACTTGAGCGATGCTTACCCGCACATACCTATACGCAGCGAGTCATCGACTTTCTCGTTTCGCCCATTTGGGCCAAGTAGTCAAGTACAGGGTGTTTCCTTCGGGTTTTGCATGGCTTCATATGTGGTCACCAAAATGTGGAAACAGGTGGTGCTACTGCTGCGTCAGGCGTCGGTACAACCCATACCTAACTGACTGGTTACTACACTACCCAAAGAAGGAGATGTTAGGCTAACACAGGATTTACCACACCAGTTGGGCTTCCTAGTAAATCAAGCAAAACAAAACAGTTGGTGTTCCTGAGCATGGAGTTCGACATGGAGGTGGGCTTGGTATGGTCATCATGTGCTCACGCTGTCACTCGTAAATTACAAAATTTTGACAAGATTTACGAACAAAATCAAGATCTATTAGTAGGATTTTGTACAAAATACCCTTTGCAAATCGCCTTAATTTAATTGTCAAAACTCCACTGTGAATTATCATGCGTGTCACGATTTGAGTGATTTCCATTTTAAAGTTAAACAATGTCCCATTACTTCTAAGATTGCAACAATTGTTACACGGTGATCGTGATTGACACGGAACTGCCATTGAATGTATTTTTTCACTCTGAGGTTATTTAGTCAATATGTGTTTCATGATACCCCGCGACATAACTCTCAGTATGGGACGGTTTTATGTCGCCCTAATCACATGATTGACTATGTCAAAAAAGAGCAGACGACTGCTCGACGATTATTTTTCACGACGAAATGGAGAAACTGCTAGATCGTGTTCAGAACCAGAAACCCTTGGCTGCCCTAACCCTGACAGCACCAAGAAACAAAAAGGTGATCATACTGCATTACGATTTCATACAGTTGAGACAATGTTAGCCAATCGATAGAAAAATATATATACTTTGTGTGCCATTCTTACTGGTCGTTCTTAGTATTGGGATCGAGTTACAAGACCGAAATTGTATTAGTTACTTTTTCACTTTTATTCAGAAATTTCGATGAAAATAGTCATTTTGTGTCATCATAAATGTCAACATTCGGGTTTGCATGGTGAGCACAGGAGTTTACATCATAATAATTATACAGCTTTTTGATTGGCCTAGAGTTTTCTTCAGGGGGTGTCGGAGAAATTTCCCTGGAAAGTTTATTCACAGGATTTATTGGCTCAAATAAGTCCAGTGCAGTAATCTAATAATTTGTTTGTAACTCTAAAATGGTATGTGCAATATTTGCTGGATACATATTTTATAAATAATAAACATAATTTTGTACTTACAGTTGTACTAGTGCCAGTGGTATTTATTCTTCAGCTTAAGTTATTACTTTGTTTATTGTGTTTATAATTGTTTTATGTGGTAATATACAACAAATTTCTTGTTTCTTTAGATTACTTTTCCATGGTTAGAGTATAATAGAGAGAACCCAGCCATCGCAGGCCCACTCGCCATGGCCATGGCTATGACTCTGGTAACGAATGCCTCCCTCACAGATTGGGGAGTGTACATATTGGACGAACAAGCCTGAGGAATATGGCCCCTGCATTGGTTCAGGACTGCCATATCCACTGGCTCAAACTGAAAGCCATAGTTCGAGACCACAGAGTCTTGCTTTGCACGGACAACACAGCAGTGGTCTCCTATAGCAACAAGGAGGGGGGACCAGATCCCCATCGTTGTCAGTCCTAGTGGAGCAAATTCTACTTTGGTACCTGGAATGCAATGTGGAGCTAGCCACACACCATCTTCCAGGGGTGATGAACAGTCATGTGGACGCACTCTCGCGGCTGCTCCATCTCCAGAATGCGAAGTGACAGATACCCCAAGGGGTAGCCTCCAGACTGTTTCGGTGGTGGGATGGTCCAAAGTTAGACCATTTGGCTGCACCCCGGAATGCCAAGCTCACGACGTATGTGACACTCCTGCCGATTCCCTTCCTGCTATTCACTAGGTACTGGAGAAACTTCGACAGGCCAACTGGCCAAGCAAGGCCTGGTTCCCACTATTGTTGGAAATGTTAGTTGAAAGACCAGTGGTGCTTCCGAACTTACCAGATCTGCTGTCCCAACCGAACGGCGCACTGCCGTTGAGCCCAGTGGTTGACCACTTACACGCATCCAGGCCCTCAGTTGACTCGCTCAGGTTTTTTCTGAGCAGGCTGTCAGTGTCCTGGCCAGGGAGAACAGGGATCCTACCAACAAAGCCTACGACTCAAAATGGCGTGCATACACTGATTGGTGTCGTGGAAGGGAGATTGATCCATGCCATCCCACTGTTGGCCAGGTAGCTGACTTTTCGCCCATCTGTTTGACAAAATTGGCTTGTCCAATTCAGCG